TGATGCAGGTCCGAGCACCGGTAGTCAGCGTTGATCGAGTTTGGAGAATTTTTGGTCTGGAGACAGGGGTGAGCACACAGCGTTTTGTACTATTTCAGTCTCCATCTGTTTATATAAAGATTTGTCTTTTACTTTTCGAGACAGTCTAGTTTAGGTGGTCCACTGTTGGGACTTGTACTCGTTTTGTTGGTAGCTCTGTATTAGTGACTTCCAGGTTCTGGGAGGGATCCTTTATTGTATTTATGTTTTGGTTTGCTTATGTTGTTATAGTAATTTTTCTTAGTCTTGTTTAGTTTCTACTCTCACACCTTGTATGTGTGGTTCTGGGTTGTGGTTTGGCTTACCTACTGATGGGTTATAGTAGGTGCCTTCATGGCTCGAGAAATTGGGTCGTGACAAAACAGATGCTCTGAAGTTTCTTCTTCACTCTTGCACATCACAAAAATCTTCTCTACTTCAATTCCCCACTGAGCTAGTCTATCCACTGTCATCAGTCTTTGATTCAGCATGATCCACATTGTGAAGTAAGTTTTGGGTCTTGCAGCATTGTTGAACATAAGGTTGTTCCATTCTGGCTTTTGTTGTTCTCCTTTCATGTGTTCATACAGTTGTCTAATCACCCCTTTATTCTTCCTTTGTTGCTGCTGGACTTGCTCCACACTTTGTTGAACACTCATGATCTTTTGTATCATCCAGCTTGCTTGCTTCCTCCTCTGCCACTCTCTTTGCCCCTTTATATAGTATGTGTGAACCCATTTGATCCAGAGTTTATCTTCCTTGTTAGCTAGATCCCAGCACAATTTAGCAATCGCAGCTCTATTCCATATTTTCATATTAATCAATCCTATGCCACCTTCACTTTTAGGACAACACACTTTCTCCCATGCTATCAAGGCCTTTTTTGTAACACCTCCAACCCCTGACCATAAGTAGCTTCTGCATAGTCCTTCAATCACTTTTATTATCTTAGCCGGTATGATAAATAACTGTGCCCAGTAGGATTGAACTCCAAACAATACAGTCTTGATCAGTTGTGTTCTTCCAGCATATGACAATTTTTTTGCTATCCATGACTTGATTCTTGCCATGATCTTGTCTATGAGGAGATACCATTGTATTATGCTCAGTTTCTTTGTCGAGAGGGGCACTCCCAAGTATTTGAAAGGCAGTTCCTCGATTGTATAGCCCATCTGTTACATAATCGGTTGCTTTACATCCATTTGCACTCCTCCACAGTAAATAGAACTTTTTGTAAGATTTGCTTGCAATCCTGAGGCTTGAGAGAAGTCTGAAAAACATCTTTGTAGCATCTTGATAGATTTCAGATGTCCCCTTGAGAACAATAGAAGATCATCTGCAAAGCATAGATGAGTGATGGCCAGCTTAGAGCATTTGGGATGGTATTTGAACATTTTCTCTTCTCTGAGTCCTTTGAGTAATCTACTGAGATATTCCATTGTTATAGCAAACAAGAATGGTGACATAGGATCACCTTGTCTCGGTCCTTTTTGCTGCATCAAATCTCTGAGTGGTTTGCCCATTCACAACAATAGTGTAATTCACTGTTTTCACACACTTCATTACCCATTGAATAAACATGTCTGGAAATCCCAGACCTCCCATTACATGTTCTAAAAAAGTCCATTCAACTGAGTCATAAGCTTTCTGTAGGTCTATCTTCATCATACTCCTAGGAGATATGTTCTTCCTAGTATAAGATTTAACCAGCTCATGAGCTAATATGATGTTATCTGCAATCTTCCTCCCTGGTATAAATCCAGCTTGACTTTCACAAATAATATCAGGCATAACATCATGCATTCTCCTTGTTATCACCTTTGAAATAATTTTATAAATCACAGTACAACAAGCTATAGGTCTGTATTCCTTCACAGTTTGAGGACTTTGCACCTTTGGAATTAGAGACACAAGAGTACAGTTGAAAGGCTTAAACAATTTCCCTGTTGTGAAGAACTGTGTGACAGCTGTAATAACATCTTTCTTAACTATCTTCCATGTATGCTTAAAGAATAATACATTATAGCCATCTATGCCTGGTGCCTTATCATTCCCAATAGACTGCAATGTTGTATATATCTCTTGTTCTGTTACATTTGTGCATAGATGAATTCTTTGTTGTCTTGATAACACTGGACCTCTCTTCATCACCTGATTATTGATAGCTAGAAGCTCACCTGCTGAGGACCCCATAAGACTTTTATAAAATTTAACAAACTCCTCTTGAATCTCCTGAGGCTCATACACCATCTTGCCATCTAGAGATAATACACTCCTTATATTCTTCTTTTGATTTCCTTCTTTTATCACTGAGTTGAAGTACTTGTTGTTGGAATCTCCCAAAGTGATCCATCTAGCTCTTGCTTTTTGCCTTAAAGCATTTTCTTCTAGCATTGACCATTTTTCCAGCTAAATTAATAATTCCTTCTCTTTAATAACTAGATCATTTTGTGCCTGATTGTAAAGCTTCTCTTGAAGTTCTTTCAGTTCACTTCTTGCCTTCTCAATTTTTTTGCCTATGAATTGGAACTCTTTCTTATTCATTTGCCTCAAGACTGGCTGAAGGGCCTTCAACTTATACCATATTCCTCTCATTACTTCACTTCCATATTCCTGCTTCCAGATTGTATCCACCATTTCCATAAAGGACTCATGCTCAATCCACTCATTAAAGAATTTGAATCCCACTCTGATCTGTTGATTGCTCTGCTGAAGTAGCAAGTGCATAGGACTATGATCTGACACACCTGGCATTCCATACTTTAGAATAGCATGACCCCATTTGTCCATCCAACAATCATTCCCAAAAGCTCTATCTATTCTACTAGCAATTCTGGCAGTACCAACATGTTTAATTGTCCAGGTATAGTAACTACCTTTCCAATGTACTTCAGTAACCCCCATATCTTTAACACATTCTTCAAAATCCTTGATTTCATTCAAAGTAACAGGAACTCCATCTAGTCTATCTTGGGGAGATAACGCAGCATTAAAGCCTCCTATGATGAGCCAAGGTTCTGAAACACTGTGAACTAACATCTTCAAATCCATCCATAAGCTTCTCCTCATTTCTACAGTATTGTACCGATAGACTACTGTGATTCTAAACTGATACCCTTTGCTTCTTTCATTAACCTGACAATGAATCATTTGAGCAGTACTTTTTAACAACTTCACCTCATACCAGCTATCATCCCATACTATCCATATTCTTCCATTTACAGCATCTTTATAATTGTATATGATCTTCCATCCTGGAACAATAGCTTTTAAAATAGTGCTGCTATTTGCCTCTTTAACTCTAGTTTCAATTAACCCTGCTAGAGAAGTTTTATTCTGTTGTAGAAGCAGCCTAATCTCCTTCTGCTTGTACCTTTTATTCATACCCCTCACATTCCACACACTCCACTTCATTAACATGTTTTTGGATCTCCACCTCTATCCACAGGAAGTGAAGCAAGTTTACTATGCCTTAAGCTCTCAAATCCATTTCTAACTAGTATAGCTGCAAGTATAGGGAAATTTGTTAGGCTGAATTCTAACTGCTTATTTCCTGTCTGAGGCCTCAGATTGATCTCAGGTGTTTGCTTATGACCCTGCATCTCTGCTTTCTCTATCTCTTGATTCTCCTTCTCTTCATTATTGCTTTCTATCCCAGTCTTCTCCATGCATTCATCTTTCTTCTCCTGCTGTTGTATTGGCCCTTTGTATTGCCATGTCTGTGTAACTTTCTTCCAAGGCTTTTTCTTCTTAGGCATCTCCTCTTGTGTTGCTGATTGACATTGGTGTCCAATTTTTTGGCATTTATCACAATACTGTGGCTTCCATTCCATCACAACTTCCTGTACAAATGTTCTTCCATTAGGATCTGCTACTGTGATCTGCTGAGGTATGGCTTTAGTTACATCCACTTCTATCAACATTCTAGCATAAGAGATTCTTGTTTGCTTGGTAGTGCAGTCATCAGCAAATAAGGGCACTCCTATAGCACTTGTTATTCTACTCAGTGACCCTACTCCCCAACAATTAAATGGCAACCTTGGGAAATTAACCCATAATGGTATCTCAGCTAAGAACTCCTTCCCAAAATCAAAGTCTGAGCACCATTGCTTCAGAATAATAGGCCTATTATTCATACTGTAAGGTCCTGAAAATAGGATCTCATTCATATCCTCCATGTTCTGAAACTTGACAATGAAGTATCCCTCTTCATGTAGAAAGAGTGTTGGTTTTCCAGCTTTAGACCGGTTCATCATTATGTATATGTTCATGATATTATACCCAGGACATTCACCCACTACATAGGCTATGAGTGCACACTTCCACTTAGCTTCTTCATCTAGAACTTCTTTCCCTTCCAACTGTACCATCGTTTCTCCATTAACTATTTGTGGAGGGAAATAGTTTAGCTGCATACCATTGGTAGCTACACGATTGTTCCTAAACATATTAACCCATGGTTCATTCTCCTTATTCACTTCTTCTCCTCTTATCCCCTTATTCTGATTATCTACAGTATTCCCATCTTGTTTCTTAGCTACTGTTCCATTGTTTTCCATCTTGTTTTCAGCTAGTTTTTGTATTAGATCTGAGTTCTCATAAGCTTCCTCTTCGTCCATTACTGAATCTAAGCTCAATCGCCTAGCTACCTCAACACTCTCATTCACCTCATCTTCACATTTCTGTCTTTCACTTTGCGTTTGTTGTTGATCTGATACTTCCACCTGAGCTCCAACTGAGCTACCAACTGCCATTATTGACATTTTCCGGCCTCTTCCTCGTCCCCGTCCCCTTCCCCTCGCCATTTTTCACGTTCACTGCGCAGGTTAACTATCCTACGCTGAGAACATCTCGGGAGAGAAGGTTTTTTTTATTATTATTTATTATTATTATTTATTATTGTTATTATTATTATTAATATTATTATTATTATTGTCATTAATATTGTTATTATTATTATTAATATTATTATTGTTATTATTATTGTTATTACTATTATAATTTTTATTATTATTATTATTATTATTGTTACTATTATTATTATTGTTAATGTTATTGTTATTATTAATATTATTATTATTATTCATATTATTAATATTATTAATATTATTGTTATTTCTATTATTATTATGATTAATAATATTATTATTATTATTACTATTGATATTATTATAATTATTATTGTTATTATTATTATTGTTGTTGTTGTTACTATTATTGTGATTATTGTTATTATATT